ATATATATATATATATATATATATATATATATATATATATATATATATATATATATATATATATATATATATATATATATATATATATATATATATATTTATATATATATATATATATTTAAAAATAAATAAATATACATAATTCTTAATAATATAATAACAATAGTTATATATATACAATATTATAATAATACTGTATATATATAACTATTGTTATTATATTATTAAGAATTATGTACATTTATTTTTTTTTAAATATTTAAATATTTTTTTTAAATTATTTAAAATATAAATTGTCAATATATATGTATATAACTATTGTTATTATATTATTAATTTACTATTGTTATTATATTATTAATTTACATTATTATTATTGTTATTATTGCTATTATTATTATTATTATTATTATTATTATTATTATTATTATTATTATTATTATTATTATTACAATTGCTATTATTGCTATTATTATTACTATTATTATTATTGCTATTATTATTATTGCTTTTATCATTATTATTATTATTATTATATGATTGCTATTATTATTTAATTGGTGTTTACCTTTGATTAGTACTCGTACTATTAGTAAACTACCATGAAATGTAAACTATTATTTCAGAATATATATTGTTGTTGTTGTTGTTATTAAGAATTATGTATATGAAAGAAACACTAACCTTAAAGAACTATTACATCCATGAATTAATAGAGTAACCCACTGTAAAAGCAATGAAGTTAACGAAATAAAGACCACGTAATAAAGTAATTTTAGTAACAAATAATAATATATCTATCAAACAAGGCACGTGTCTTGTGTTGTTATTAATATTGCTCCGTAAACTTTTTAAATGTTGTTCGGCAAAATACGCAAATAAAAATAATCGTTCCGAATGGGATATGATCTAAACACAACCATTTAGAAATATATTGAGTTAGTTTTTATTACCCCTTTATTCCTCCATTATGACGAACTTAACAGGTTATGTGCCCAGAAGCCAATATCAAAATTTATTGTTTGATGGAGACGAAAGAAAGTTTGAATTATGGGAATTAAAAATATTAGGATACATGAAACTTAAAGGTTTAAAAGATGTTACTACTGGAACTCAAGAAGTCAATGACAATGAAAACGAATTAGCGTTTGCATGATTAATTCAATACCTAGACGAACGATCCCTTTCATTAGTAATAAGAGATGCTCGAGATAAGGGAAGAGAAGCATTCTCGATACTTAAACAACACTATGCTGGATGTAGCAAACCAAGAATTATAACATACAATCAACTTACAACTCTTCTAAAATTAAATTCGGAGTCAGTTACCGACTATATAATAAGAGCAGAAACATCATTAACAGCATTGAGATCTGCAGATGAAATTGTAAGTGATTCACTCTTAGTAGCAATGGTCTTATAGAGATTACCAAATAAATATAAATCTTTTATTGCGGTTGTAACACAATCAGAAACTGTTAAGTGTTTCCAAAAATTTAAACAGGCACTTAGAAACTTTGAAGAAATTGAAAATTCAAGAAGTAATCAGGTTGAACCAAATATAAACATTATGAAAAATAATTTGAAATTTAAAAATAAAAACATTGCAAAATGTTATAGATGTGGCACTCCAGGTCACAAATCTATAGATTGTTATAAAAACAAAGAAAGAAAATGGTGTAAATTGTGTAAATCAAGCACTCATAATGACAAATCTTGTCATAAACAGCAACAGGAAAAAGATAAAACCAAAAAGTTAACAGATCAAAATATTGATCAAAATTATGTATTTAAAGTTGGTGAAGGAAATATGCAACTTTTATCTGAAATTGAATCATTCCTTGTTGATTGTGGAGCAACCACTCATATAGTTAATAGTGATAAATATTTTATTTACCTGGATAAACATTTTAAACCAGATGAACATTATATTGAGTTGGCTGATGGTACAAAAACTAACAATGTAGCCCAAAAACGAGGAACAATTTCAGTAGAATTAACTATTGAGGATGGAAATGTAGTTCAAGTTAAACTAGAAAATACTTTATTTATACCAAGTTAACCTAATTGTATATTTTCTGTTCAAGCTGCTACACAAAAAGGTGCAATTGTCAACTTCAAAGGTAATAATGGAGAATTGATTGCTAAAAATGGAACAATATTCCTAATATAAAAGAAAGGTAGATTATATTATTTACTCAAAACTTCAACGAGTAAAGTTCGAAAAGAAACCATTGATACATGGCATAAAATCCTAGGACACTGTAATTTCGCTGATTTGAAGAAATTAGAAAAAGTTGTTGAAGGTATGAAGATTACCAATAGTAATAGTAATTTTTGTGAAACATGTACTTTAGGAAAACAAACAAATATACGAAACAAAGAACCTAATATTAGAGCAATGTATCCATTTGAGTTAGTATATACAGATTTAGCTGGACCAATTGTACCAATTGCAAAAGATGGATATAGATATATTATTAGTTTCACTGATGATTGTTCAGGATGTTTATTCACTTATTTTTTAATGCATAAGTCAGACGCTGTACATGCAACAGAAAAGTTCTTAATAGACATTTCTCCATATGGTAATGTAAAGACTTTCTCATTCAAAAGTGATGAAATTTACCCATCTGGAAGTCTTCGTAGAATAAGGAGTGATAACGGAGGTGAATATATCTCAAAGAAATTTCAAGAACTTTTAAGAAAGTTCTGTATCAAGCATGAGTATACCTCACCATATTCTCCTCATTAAAATGGTAAGGCCAAACGAAACTGGCAAACTTTGTTTGATGTTGCTAGATGCATGCTTATTGAATCTAAGTTACCAAAATTTCTATGGACATATGCCATAATGACTGCAACTTATATTAGAAATCGTTGTTATAATAGTAGACTTGAAAACACCCCATATGGAACTATTACAAAGACTAAACCAAACCTCTCCAAATTACATATCTTTGGAACAGTATGCTATCCATATGAAAATGATTGTAAAAAGTTGGATCCACATAATAAAATTGAATATTTTATCGGATATGACAGAGAAAGCACTTCATATTTTGTATACTACCCTGAAACAAATTCTGTTCTAAAGCATAGATTAGTAAAGTTTACTGAAAATTTTAGACTTATAACACCAAATGATATTGATAAAGATGAAATCGAAAACTCATACCAAAAATATCAGCATCAACCTACAAAGCTACAATCTACTAAAAACCGTAGGAACTCAAAAAGAACTAAAAGACCACTAAATATTTAAATGATTACATTATTGACAATTCTGAAAGCAATGATTACATTAAATATATTGACTACTGCTATTGTGTAAAAGTACCCACTTCTTACAGTGATGCCATTCAAAGCAAAGAAGGCTGTGAGTGAAGGAAAGCGATGGATGAAGAAATAAAATCATTAAATGAAAACCATGCGTACACTCTTACTACCTTACTAAACGGTAAAAACTTAATAGGATGTAGATGGATTTACTCAGTGAAAGGTGAACCTGATAATCTAATATATAAAGCTCGATATGTAGCAAAAGGTTTTACTCAAATTGAAGGAGTTGATTACTCTGAAACATTTTCACCCACAGCTAGAATTGAATCGTTAAGGATAATTATAAATATATCTGTACATGAAAATCTAAACGTACACTAAATGGATGCAAAAAGTGCATATTTACATGCTCCAATAGAATGTGAAATTTATGTATCGCAACCACCTGGCTATGAACAAGCTAATAGTGAATTAATTTGGAAGTTAAATAAGTCACTCTATGGTCTTTAACAAAGTGGGAGAAACTGGAATAAATTATTAAAAGATTGTCCTATTGAAATGAGTTTTACTCAATCTGAATCCGACCCATGTGTTTTTATATACAATGAAAATTATTCAAAAGTTATTATTTTAATTTGGATTGATGATATTATTATAGCCACCAGTTCCACTAAAGCAA